TACAGGTCACCAGTCCCAAAATGAATCGTAGGGAAGAATGTCTCGCAATCACGCGTGAGCTACAACCTTATATAAGGCTGGCCTTCTCGCAGAGACTTTAATGAGAACATAAACCAGCTGACATTGGTCGGTTGGTACCATCACTCGCTGAGTGGTTTCGAAGAATCCACAAAGCTACGGTGAGTGCTTCTCCTTTCAATCACTTGCGTGCCCTGGGGGTCCCGAGCTTTAGTGGGGTTGGTGGAGACGTTTGGTCGGATAGTCACAGATTGTTATGATCCTTTCAGGCTCTGAAGAAGGCGATTCCGCCGAAACGTCAGCCTAATAAAGCATGCCTGAAAACCTCGTGAAGAGTTCAAGAAAACAGTAAACTCAAAGCGCTAAGTGAAATTAGTGAGAGAAAAAACGGTTAAGGAGCTCTTATCCGTATGAAAGCGCGTTTTGCAAAAGCGAAAACGACAACGGGAAGCAAACCCTCACCGCCCACCTGAACATGGAGAGCAATATCACCACGCCACGATGACCCTTGTGGCCATTGCGGGCAACTGCGCTCATCAACTGGCACTATGTCTTCATGCTTTGAGCATGCAAAATTTGAACGCTCACAACTTTTTTGGTAAATTCATGTTGTAGTTTTAATTTCCACATTTGTTAATAACTTTCCAAGCCCTATCGAGATACCTAGGTCTCTATTCATAGTTCCACGGGATTTCAAAACCCTTCCCTGGTCAGAGCATTTAAGTTGTCTCGAAGCGAGAAGGATTGGGTTATCGATCGCTCTAGGGACTTCAACGATTATCGCCGTAACTCCAAGCTTGCGCAGCAGCGGATGGCACAAATGTTCAACGTAGCTTGTTCGGTTCTCGCAGCCGCTAAACACATGAACGACGACAGGAGAACACACATGTTACACGTCATCATGGCCAAGATTTGCGCATTTCCACTCCGATTCGAATTCGCCATCGCACACATGTCCTCCAAGTGGACTCCAGAAACCGGTGTACCACTAAATCGTCGGAGCACGATCCCTCCGAACTACTGTTCAGCAGGCAGAGCACTCCTACGTACAGCGCTGCGTCGCCGTGCGTTTTGCCGTTTCAGCTTGGGCCCCGCCCTGTCGCTACGCAGCCCGCACAGTCTCCCGCATGTTACCACCCGGAATAACACCATGACCGTAGAAGTCTACTTAGAACTAGCTTCGCCTCCGTCCGGCGCCGAGCCGCTCTATGGGCGTATTTAGCAGCAAGAGCCTTTTTGGCGCATTTAACAAAAAATCGCAGGCTGTCGCTGAGTTGAGTGCCGTCTATGGTCAACGACGTATACGGGGAGGGCCAGCTGTCCCATAGCTAAAGAACGTCTTAATTACAGAGGAGGTCAATCGTTTGCACTTTATCCTGATCAAGTCGCAGCACTTGAGCACCCATCTTAGCGATTCAAGCCGCATTCGGCACGGGTAAGCCAATCATTGGTGCTCTCATCGCTGAGCCGACATTCTCTAACTTCAACGAATATAAAATCGTTACCCCCTCGACTGAGGTAGCAGTCGCTCAGTTCACTGACACTCTGTTGCGCCTCTACGACTATAACCACCTTGACATCCTACGCTATGTATCTGACGCCGCCCTCATCGAAGAGCCCCACAGACTCCCATGGAACTGCATAATATCTTGGAGCAGTTGCCCAAAGTTTATGCAGACGCCCTTTCTCCGGAATCTCTTCAAACATGCCTCAAATACAAGCGAAGCCGGGAGCTCTTAGAACGATTTATGATCTTGATCGATGAAGATCGTTCTTGCCATCGAACCTTCAGGACCTGAACGCGATGAATGTCGCATTCAGACCGATGCCATAACAATCATGTTCCAGGTTTGGTCTCCCGCAGTCGTTTGTATCACGACTTCGGCCCTTCTCAACGCCATCGCTGCCGATGGTATCTTTTACGGATGTGATTCCTTCCCAGCATTGATGGGACAAAGCCTCGCAGATCCCTGAACTGTCCTTCCGCCGCAAGTGTGTCACATCTACTTCGGCGACACACGCCAGTTGGAACCACACGCGTGTTGCCCTCCCTGTTCCAGTCCTGCTCGTCTAGGAGCTCAGAGTGTGATGAACGTAATCCTAGATAAAGGAGTTCCCGTCGCACCATTAAATACTACATTCGGAGCACCCGCGCTGCTGAATGAACTTCCTAATTTGGGCTTCTACGAACATCAGCTCGTCAACGGTATCCGCACCGAGGATCGCCCACTCTTCTTGTCAGAACTTCGTTGTCCTAACCCCCTGTACCGTTCTTGTTCGTGGACGCTCCGAGAACATCAATGAAGGGTCTATCAGCGGGTCGCACAGTAATTAAGAAGAAGCAAAAGTCTGCCGCCAGATCGTTCTTAGTCTCCTTTGCTAAAATGTTCGTCCGTCGCCCATCGCCATCATAGTCTTCTATGAGAAGCAGTTTCGGGTCCTTTCGCAGTTCGCCGAGACGTCAGCTGTTGATCTTCTCACGATTGATTCTGTACAAGGCCGCGAGAAAGACTTGTGATACTCCTGTCGACGCGTGCCGGACTCGTTCCCGCACGCGGAGAGTTCTTGAACGATCCGCATCGTCTCAACGTCGCTCTCTCCAGATGCCGCCACGGCCAGTTCGTGTTGCGTCAGAAGTCTCTGATTGGCGTGTTCTATTAGCATGACATCCTCCGCTGGGCTAATAACCGTGGGCCTCATCACTGCGGCCGCACTCCCCGACCTTCTCGGTTGAACGTGATGTTCCTTCCCCCTCCCCCCCCCCCCCCCCCCCCCCCCCCTCCCACTTCCATCCAATACTTTGAACAGCCAAGGGAGGCTTTATTTTCTTTTTTCCCTGTTTTCCGTCCCTCTGTCAAAGTACGAGGACGGGCTCTTTTGGGGAGGGGAGTTGTAAGATTTGCAAGAATTGCGAGTGTAGCGGTAGTTAGCGAGTGTGAGCGAGCGTGTCAATAACCGGTCAATAGCGTGAGCATGGGTCAAGGGAGCCGCCTACCCTTGTCATTGCAACATGGCATAACTCTGGAATGTTATGTTACGGTATTGAGGACTAATCTCATCACGCATTGTTAAGTCCGCCGTCGTCTACTGGAAGAGTACAGTCGTCAGCACCTACGTCCGTCCGTTGAGCCGCGCGTCCCTGCTCCCGTCCTGTCTGTCGCCTCTGGGCCTGATGAACACCTGGAGTAGGTATGACAATAAATGTTCATAGCGATTAGGAAGCGAATCTTCGATATTTGAAGGAAGAAATTTGGAGGTGGTAGTTTGTGGGGCTTTACTTCTCACGCCCCAATGCAAGCAGCGCGCCCGAGTGACTGTTCGATTCACTGGCTGCTTTCATAGCCCACCGGCCGGCCTGCGAGCGCGTGCGTCGGCCGGGAGCGGCGCTTGACTTTTGTTTTTAAAATAAATCTTGTTCGATAGCGCAGACAAGTAGTCCCCAGGCCGGCGGACTATGAAAGCAGCCTCTGCGACCTACGAACTACTTGAACTCACTCTTGAACTTTATTGTAGCGATCGCGACTAATTTTATGTCCTCGGCCGTCCCACTCCTGTTCACCCCAGTCTTCAGCTGCTATGCTTGTCTGACCAGTGGGACCTCCACCACCAACCCCGTGTCCTTTACAAAGACTATTTTTCTATGCGCTCTAACCTTTTGCTGTTAGAAACGCAGAGAAAGTTCGGGTCATGTGGCCATCTACTGCACAACACAGTCATGAGCCGTCCTATTATAATCCGTCTTCTATAGCCCACCCGAGAATTTTCTTTTTTTCAAATAGACTACTTGGCGAAAATGTAGTTGGGAGGGGGGTGCCAGCGCCCTTTTCCGCTCTGCGTCTCTGACACCAGGCGGCAGAGTGTATGGAGACCGCGCTAGAGTGCAGAGATGGTTTTTTCTCCTTTTCAAAGTTAGGGGAGGAGTTCCGGGGTAGGTGGGCCAATTGAATGATCAATTTTTATCCCATCACAGCTTTTTGCTCGAACTAATCATCTCACCCATCCCATCCCTTTCTAAACGTTAGAGGAGCCCCGGGGTGGGTGAGCCAAGTGGACATTCAATTCTTACCCCATCCCAGGTCCTTGCTTAAGGTAATCATCTCTTCGGGCGGAGGTGGTGTAGAGGCACGTGGCGCACTATATCACACGCACGGTCGCAGGTTCGAGTCCCCGATCGATATCCGCCTAGGCCAACCAAGCATTCAATCCCTCCGGGGTCGATTAATTGGTACCAGACTAGTCTGGGAGGATAAAAGCACTGACTTGTACATCGGCTGGCCACCGCAATGCGTCCCTCAGACGGGATCGATTAACGCCAAAAACTTTCCCTTCATCTTGATCCTAATCATCTCTTACACCCCGGATCTCCTCCCCCAACTTTTAGGATGGGAGGAAACCATCTATGCGCTCCAGCGCGGTATCTATGCACTCTGCCGCCTGGTGTTAGAGACATAGAGCACAAAAGGGCCCTGGCACCCCCAACTACATTTTCACCGACTACATTTATGTTTTCCGAAGCATTAAAATATCGAAAAGGGGGAAATGTATTGGGGGAAGGGGTAGCGCCAGCGCTCTTTTGAAAGATGGAAGGCTAGAGCGCAGAGTAGGAAGGGTAGACAATCCTACATGTGCTAGGAGATGGTGTTTAGCCAAGAGAATATTGTTTTTACCTAACATTCAGGGAAGGAGCTCTGGGGTGGGTAAGATGATTACCTCATGCAAAAACCTGAGATGGGATAACAATAACATCCAATTGGTTCACCCACCCTGGAGCTCTTTCCCTTTCAGGCACAGTTTGACCCTTTGAAGACAGCGCGCCTTTTTGCGTGTCTGGCAAGCGGAGCAGACGCATTTCAAAATTTTCCGCTTCCGCGGCTCACCGCTGAGCCGCGCTATCTCAAGATTTATATAATTTTCTAGTTTGAACATTTTTTGTTTTTTTCCAAGCGTTTTTACATGATTCAGCTTGAAAGAGTGCGAATTAGGTGATTATGAGTTTTCAACTTTACTCAAGTCTGGTTTCATGCATAACTTAGCTTTGGGAGTCGAAATAGACCAGTCTGCAGTGGACGATTTGGAGATTGCTTTTCAAAGATTATTGGTCGAACCCGACGAGAATAAAACTAAAGAACAAAACTCTCCAAGCTGTGTTTCGAAGGTGTTGCACAAGGGGGGGGGGGCTAAAATTTACTAAAGATTTGGGTTCAAGATTTACTTCGGTAGACAGTCCACAAGCAAGGATTCAGCAGCTGTATTAACTGTGGCCATGGCTAGTGGACGGACACTTGAATCAAGGAATGCTGCTCTATACCGATAACTAGTGAATGACTTATTGGAACACAGCATCCACTTGTCTGACACTAACAGCAAAAGTAGCCCACCTTTTTGACCTCTTGTGATAGAAAATTAAATAAGGGATCGCACCAGCAAAAAGAATAACAGAGAATAAAGGAAGAGAAGAAAAACTTCGTCTCATTACTCGGCGATCAGCTGATTGTATGTATGTCCTAGAGCGAATACTGCAATCTGCATCGCCTCGACACTCGTCTGACGTGACATCGATCGAAGGGGGAAGTCCGAGCGATCCGGTAGCGGGGCTCCCACGATGCCCTAGTAGAGTTTTGTGACTCGCCCTTCCTGTTATTCTTGAAGTATTCCTAGGTAGAGAACTCAGAAACCATTTTTATCGTGAATTGGGCCTTTAAGAAAGCTCGTGTTCGTCATGGCGGTCTTTTGGCATATTGTCATCGGCGACATAGTCCTTTGACCAAATACGGTGAATTCATCGAGAGGGACGCGTCAACACTTACACACCCCACTAAGGAGATAATTACCAGAATCAGGTAAAGTTGCATGTGTTTCTTACTCGCCTCCTGGCATAAGGTGTACTACAGGCTCCCCCTTACTTGCCCGATTACTCGTTTTTAGTACCTGGGTTTATTCACCCGCTCTTCCATCGAGACTAGGGTCTATTCATTTGAACTTCATGTCTATCAACTTCTATATGATCCTAATTTCTATTACTGACCGCGTTCTGGCTGGACGTGGCTGCCCGAACCAACATTAAAAGCTTATGAGCATAGGTGGATGCTGATTCTTCCGTTTGCTGATGACAGGAGGAAAAGGCCTGACAAGCCATATACCGGTGCTTACAGAGACTTAGTACCTCCCATGCCGTTGGGCATATTGAGCGATTGAGTCTTGCCACTGTTGCCGATCCTGTGCGATGCCTCCTCCTTCGTCCCTGAAAACATACATGACTTTGAAATCGTCGTCGAGTGTTCTTCTCCACGTGTTTCTGGGACGGTTTCTTCCTCGCTTGGCTCCTTTAGCTTTCCAATACATAGCCGTTTTTGGGATATGTAGCTGCGGCATACGCAACACGTGACTGACCAATCGAAGCCTACGCCGTGCCACAACCGCGTGGAGACTATTCATACCGGCGGCGCAGAGCTTCTTCATTCGTGACGTGAACCTTGTACCGTACCTTAAGATCCTTCGCAGACATCTGTGGTAGAAAGCATTCATCTTTTCAACTGAATTAGCCATATATTCCCATGTTTCACTTACATAAATTGCGGTAGGGATCACAATGGAAGAATACAGGCGGATCTTCGTGTTTCGAGATAGGGACGATAGTGATCATATTGGCTGGAGTGTTCTGAACACGTCTGTAGCTTTTGCAATCCGGCTACAAACGCCATCATGGGTTACCGTACTCCCGAGACAAGTGAACTTGTCGACGTTTTCCAACATTGTATCCTCCACATTGATGTTCACCTGCATGCAAGCTTGACCGATTGACATGGCTTTCGACTGACTGGCACTTATTCGTAATCCGATCATGTTCACTTCTTATTTGAAAGTATCGGTGACCTTTTGCGATCTGTCTTTGTTTTCAGCAGTGAGAGCGATGTCATCCGCAAAGTTCAGATCAGTGAGCCTTTCATAGTTAAACCAGCGTACTCCTACCGTTGTTTGCTGCGATGTTTTCCTCATGACAAAATCTAGGCAGATTTTGATCAGCACTGGCAAAAGGATGCATCCTTGCCGTACTCTATTCTGCAGAATAGGGTAAACCTGTATCCGTCTTTACACAACATGAAAAGTTACGGCCTTGAAAAAGCAAATAGAGGTCTTGGTATGCCGTACATTCTGAGTATCCTCCATAACGGTTCACGGTGTACGCCTTTCTGAAGTTCACGAAGGGTATATGCTTTAACCCAGTACATTGCTCAATGATGTTACGAGGATAACTATTGGTCACACACGATCCTCCTTTTTTGAACATAGCCTGTTCTTCTCCTAGTTTGCTATCAATTGCATCACAGAGTTGTCGCAACAGTTCAATGCAAAACTCTCTCTCAGGAACCGAATGAAGTGTGGTACCTTTCCAATTTTCACAGTCCGCCGAATTAACTTTTTTAGGTAGCTTCACAATAACTCCTTTCCTCCTGGGACCTCTGCATCATTCCAGCAACGGTTACACAATTCCGTACTCACTGTCATGCTGCCACCTGCCTTTAACAATTCTGCCGGGATCTCATCTGTGCTCGGGCTCATTAGCTGGCTCCATTCCCTCGAAACAGTAAGTACTCTGTGGTTCAGGCAAATTAAGGATGTTCCAACAGTGTTCGAGCCATCTTTTGCAAAAACCAGGCTTTCTTGTCCCGGCGACAGGAACATTTCACGAGGCGATCCAGCTCAGTGTATCTACTGGCTGCTTCATCGAGCTCGTCTTCATTCTTCGCTTGTTCTCTCGATAGCTTCCAATGCTTCCTTTCATCTATCTTCTGCCAGGTGCTTTTCTGGAACCATTGCTCTTTCCGTTTCCCGCGTCTTCGTCCGACTACTTTCTGAGCTCAGTCTTGGATAGCTCGTTTGACGGATGTCCACTCTTCTTCCAGAATGTCCGCTTCCTCCAAAAATTCCATAATTCCAGAGCAAAGCTTGCAGTGGTAACCGGGTCCTTCACCTTCTCTACAGCAAATGGTCGAGTAACTTTGACTTTCCTTTCCTGCTTCCTCAGCAAGTGATGATCTGAAGGAACATTTTGAAAAGACGTTCTCCACCTCCTACTCAGGCCAATTGAGTCAATCTCGTTCTCCCATCAGGCGAACACTATTTTTTCTTATGGATCGATTTGTGCTGAAAGAAAGTATTTCCGACACACAGTGTATTCTGCTCACAGAACAAGGCTAGTCTTTCGCCCCTGCTAATATGATGCTCAGAGAAGCGAATGACATGATTGTTCGCTCGAATCCAATGATAAGTTTCAGATCTCTTCTCGGTATGTCGTCGACAATGTTTTGAGGTTGCTCATAGAAGCTGACTTTCATTTCCTCGTAATCCCCTTCGGCGCATATACTTGATGCGATGCGGATGTACCTTGTCACAAATCGTGCCGTGATTATCCTCTCATTCACTGGTCTCCATCAAACATGTGCCTTCCCGCTCTCTTACTCAAAACGATTCCCACATCTCTTTCATGTCGTTCCTCCGGCCCAGGAATAATACAGCCTTCTAGTCTTTTCATCGCTTCTAATACAGCCTTAGCCGATCCATTGGACTTCGCTGATTCCCAGTATATCCATGTGATAGCTGTCGAGCTCTCGAAGTAGCTTTGCAAAGTTTCTAAGTTGATACAGTGTGCGCACTTTCCATGTTCCAACAAAAGTTTTGTTTTTGAGTGAGAAAAGCTAACTTCGTATCGGGCTACTTTCCGTCACAGGGCTGAAGTTAGACTCTCAATGCAACAGGTTGAATGTATTCATCGTTTACTCAGTGCGAGTAGTCTTTTACAGTGGAGGAGTTGCTAGCCCTTCTCACCAACCTCCTTCTCTCTCATCCGGGCTTAGGACCGGCAACGGCAGAGTTTTTTCGGGTGCTGGGTTCTTTGAATGATTTCTTCAGGTAGAATGACTTCCTCCTCACCAAAAAATATCCTCTCAATAACCCAGTTGGAAGTGGCCTCTTGTTGGGATGGCCGAGCGGTAGATCTCATGCGCATAATGTTATCCAGACATCTATGCTTCAATGGAAATAGTAGAGGGTCTTCCCCACATCAAGAGAGTGGGATCACTCTTGGTAGGGCCCCATCTGGCTCACCGTAGCGACCAACGACAGTGCATCAATGCGCTCGTCCACGGCCGCAAAATAGTTATTCAAGTCCAAAAGCAAGCTCAGATTGCCTTCGTCAATAGTTCGGACGAGCTTCGTCGCCCCAGCCCTGGCTTCATCCTGGACTTCGACAATTGTGAGAACCGTAACACCCGTAATGCCTTCGCGATCCCTTCCTCGAACTGTAGTGCGATCATCGAGGTCCAACAACGCTACCGTCAGGTTAGCGGATGCTGACATTTCTAGAGAGCAAAGCTTGAGAGACAGATGAAAGGTTATGAATGTTGGAGGGCTAGAGTCTCTTTTGTATGAGGGTGGGCGGAGCCAGTAGTGAGATCGGAAGGGTCATTTTCCAGAGTTGATTCAAATTCTCCTTTCATATTTCGATTACGGTCTGATTCATGTTGATAATAGGAGTGATAAGACCTGGGAATAAGTCGAGAAATCGAAACATTTAAAGGAGACTGTAATCCTATCAAGCTAGCTCGAACTTTGACGATGCCGGGAAACTGATGCCGTAAGGAATAAAGAGTGACCTGTGATGGGAAGGCGTATGAAAAATTCGACTGTTTGAAATTTTGCCGATCGAGCTGACAGTCAAGAAAGTGTGAGGGATCATGAAACAACAACACGAAACACATTATACATATCCGAAAAGTACTAGTTATAGAAATTAGGATCACATAGAAGTTGATAGACATGAGGTTCAAACATTGGGTTGATGCATAGGTTTTTTCCGTGTTTGATCCTTCAGTATTTCGTTTGGATCGATGATGGTATTTCGCCATCAGGCGTGCGTGACCTGAACATGGTACTCTTCCATCACTCTAGCTATCACTCACTCATCCCGCATATTCAGACGAAAATGCCTTACCATTACCACCGTGACAGACTGTATCTGCGCCACAGAATGATTCTGCATCACTATTTTGGCTGGAATGGAAAGGAAGGTTATATCAAGCTAGCGGATACATACGGCGAGAACGTCATCTCTTACCCCACATGCAAGATCTGGTTCGTCAATTTTAAGAGAGAAGACTTTTCTCTCGAAGATGCTCCGACGTTGGGTCGGCCGATGGAGTTGGATTTGGAAGTACTACGTTTTACCGTGGAGAAGGACCCGTACCTAACCAGCAATGGAGTGACGACCATGCTCGGCTATAACCAATTGACGATGGTACGAGGACTGGAGCAGCCCTGCAGCAAAGCTCGGTCGATGGGTCCCACATGAACTGTCCGCTTAAGACCTTTCGAAGACGGTGGGAAAATGCACTTTTCTCCTCACTTTCCAAAGAAGCTCCACTTTCTCAACTCGATGATCACTGGAAATGAGCAGTGGGTTTTCTACTATAACCCAGTGGGGAAGCGGTAGGTGGTCGACAAAAGAGAACAGACAGAAGCCATCCCAAAGGCCGACCTCTACTCCAAAAAGGCTTTCCTGTTCTGTTCGCGGTCTAGAAGAGGCATTGAACACTGGGAGCCGCTAGAAAAAAGACAGACGATCAATACTTCCACATACGTTACCCAGCTGCGGAAATTGAAAGATCATGTCGACTGTACTCGTGGATCGAATGCGCAAATAGAATTCCACCATGACAAAGCCCGACCTCACACCGTAAAGTCGACCGAGCCCGAGCTGGGAAAGTACGAATGGCTGATGCCGACTAGACCCTCCCTACAGACCTAACCTCATTCCTTCCGACTACTGACTATTCAGCCACCTGCAGCGCTTTCTGACGGGAAAAATTTGAAATAGAAGATGGTCTTAGAACGGTACTCGACGACATCTTTTAGTCCAGCCCCCGCCTTTCCTGAAGGAGGGAATCGACAAGCTGCCTGGGCGTTGGCGTCGAGGCGTGGATGGTAATGGTGCATACCTCTAATCTTCAGGTTGGTTTGCTGTTGAGATATTTACAAAATTGTCGAGGGGGAAACTTATGCATAAACATAATAAATAGACCCTAGTCCCGATGGAAGAACGGGTGAGTAAAGCCAGGTACTGAAAACGAGTAATCGGGCAAGTAAGAAGGAGCCTGTAATGAACCTTATGTCAGAAGGCAAGTAAGAAACACATGCAACGTTACCTGGTTCTGGTGATTATCTCCTTCGTGGGGTGGGTAAGTGTTGACGCGTCCCGCTCGATGACCTCAGCGTATTTGGTCAAAGGACTATGTCGCCGATGGCAAGATGCCAAAAGACCGCCAGGATGTACACGCGCTTCCTCTAAGGCCCAGTTCGCGGTAAAAATGGTTTCTGAGCTCTCTACCTAGGAATACCCAGTGGCCTCCAAGAATAAAAGGAAGGGCGCTGTCGAGTCTCAAAACTCAAATAGGGCGTCGAATGAGCCCCGTTAGCGGATCGCGCTCCTGGACTTCCCGCCCTCCGGTCGATGCCATGTCAGACGAGTGTCGCGGAAATACAGATTGCAGTATTCGCTTTAGGACCCACACACAATCAGCTGGTCGCCGAGTAAGGAAACGACGTATTCCTTCCCTTCCTTTATTCTCTGTTATTCTTTTTGCTGGTGCGATCCCTTATTTATTTTTCTATCACGAGAGGCCAAAAAGGTGGGCTTTTTTTTATTTTTGCTGTTACCATGTTTTTTTGTTAACTTCTGTTAGCTTCTGAGCGAATGAATTTTTGTTACTGTAGTCAGCTAGTCGCACCAGGACCCGCACGTACGCAATGACCCACATTGTATAACTCGTCCAAACGCCCCACTCTTCTTCACTCTTCTAGTCCCACTCTCGTCCAGTCCCCTTTTCGACTTTTTCAGAGCTTTTTTCACTCTGGAAACGGGGATTCACGCAGTTCCTTCGCCTCCATTGCACTATTTTCCATCTTCTCTTCCATTTTCGTCATAATCTGGATTAACCAAAATTATCGTGAACTGTTCCTTTAAATGTACTTCAGGATCCGACAGAACTAGTATAGGGCAGTTAGCGAATGATTGGTGGGGATATTTCAATAGAATGACCGCTAATTTACCACAAATCGCTCGGAAATTGTTCATTGACACGGCCCGTTCGAGTCCATGACGGTTGAAATTCCTCAGAAAGATACCACGCCGTCGAAGATGGTATCACCCATTTAACTTATAACCGTGGTTCTGCGCTGTTCTTTCAATTAGTTTTTTCTAATTTTACACTTTTACAGTTGTATACCCCGGGAGAACCTTGGTACCCAAGCGGGATAAGCTTGGATTCATCCTCTGCAAGTCCACTTCAAACCTCTCGCCGCCATCACTAATATGATTTAACGTCCCTGGTACGACCTCAAAATACACGTATAAACCCAGAGCACAAGTAAATCGCGGCGATGCTCAGCTTACGTCTAACACTAAGGTTCCTCTCCATGAATTCACTACAACTTGGGACGAACATCTTATTTTTTTCTCCGCCCTGCCACGGGTGCAGTGCACTTCTACAGTAAAAAAAATCGCTCGCTACGACAAGGGATACGGTATCTAGCTGGCTCAGGGATGCGATTTCATGATTCGCGAAAGCCAGACACAGATGAACAGCAAAAAACTCAGCCAATTAAAGAAAGTTCCTCGAAGAGTCACTGGCAGCTATAGCAGTACGGTACATTCCTTGTCCGGAGTCGACTGAGAGGACAAAGACATGGCAGAAAACGGACCGCGACTGGTCAAATGTCACGAACAGGCCCTATCGCATCCAATTCAATCACGCCGAGTCACCTGGGAAATACCTGACTATTAACTTACCTCCAACAGCGGAGGGGGGGGGAGCACTCGCTTCTACCAGTAAGCTCGCGCGCACAGGGGGCCGTGCTTAGTCTCTGCTTCTGAAGGAAATTGAGAAGTAATGACTCATCATCAGAATGACGACCAATAGAAAGGCAAATATTCAGCAACCCGAGGCTATAGGTTACAAGGAAATTAAGAGGCACGTGATGTTATACAGCATTATAATGCATCGGCGTACAGAGACCAAGATCAAAAAGTAGATTCGTTGAGACCAGGCTTCACCTTCCAGAGAGGGATAGAACTGTGGCTACCGTCCATGACGACTAGCCTCGGTAGACCCCCCCCCCCGTTAAAGTCTCCCAGCTCACCGCTCCGCCCTGAAATGCCCCGATGATTTATCTTGAAACATAATCACCTGATCGCCGCGCTGGCACGGCGCGGCTCCAGAATCAATTCAATAAAATTCAATAATTCAGGGTATTTGCAAGATAGCTTCCCGCCAGCAAGATCAGTTTTCATGCCAAACTTGTTGCCATATAAATTTGGGGTCGTGATTACAAAGAATGCTTACAGAGTTGGCAAAAGGCAAGCTAGGCGGTTGCATCCCATTTCGATTTTGATTTTAATTACTCGACTCGGTTGAAGACTCCATCTTTTCCCATAATCGCGCTCTATGCGAGCTGCCACTTCGCAATCTAGCCATGTGCATATCGGAATTGGGGCGGGGCCAGCATAATGCCGGCAGGCCCCTTCAGCGAACGTTGCGGATGTGGCAACATGCCACGGACGGGATCGGTAGATTTAACTGGCTTTAGTATGGGACGCGGTCGTTTGACACGGTCATTTGACGCGGCTTTTCGCAGCCGCTTCGCCATTGAGAAACATGGCCTTCATTTGACACCAACTAAGCACTCTTGGTACTCCTCAATCCTGATTCCTAGGTGGGTTGGTTTAATAGCGATCTGTCAACTGATAGTTTGAATATAAGCTTTTTGTTTGTATTGTTTTCCTATCATGTTTCCTTCTTTTTTTCATTTCTTCGTCTAATGGCCTAGAAAGCAGGAAACAGCATCCTATAAGGTTACTCATAATGCGATCGAAGTCAAAGTGCCTTACTATGTTGTATTTTCAACTCTTTCCCCCGACTGTATAGACATTGTTCCGTTTACGTCGAAATTTCACTCTGCTTGTAGTTATGAATAGTGTTCAGTTCGCAATCTGCTCCATATGTGTAATTCCCCATTGCTTTGATGAAACAATTTTTGTGCACAGATGCAGGGTGAGCTTGTTCAGGTCATTTGTCTTCCAGTGCTTCTAAATATGATATATTTTCCTTGCCTTTACCCGTTTGTCTTACTATCGGGATTGATAAATGTCTTCTTGTGGATGTCATACACAAAGATAACTCCCTAATTCGAACAATACTACATTTATTATAATAGTTACAATCTTGAAATGATAAATACATAAAGGGTGAGAAGAACAATATATTTAATGTTGAATCACGGTACATAACCACAATACAATATTTGACGGATTCATTCAAGTGCACACTGGATGGATACTCTATTGAGAAGAGATATTCTATATTCAGAAGTAGTATCTGCCTTGTTGACTCTGCCGAGAAAGACTTGGAAGGGCAAGAATCTTAAAAGCTTCACCACCATGTAAATTTTCTTCGGCATTTCACGAGGCGGTTATTAGACTAGAAGGAGAACAAACACTAACAATACTATTCGAATATTGGACAAAAGGAAGTAACTTCCTCTATGTGTAAGAATGAAATATCAGGAAAATTAGAAATATGGCAGAAATGCGAGACATGAGGAATGAATCAATGTCAATCGTAAGAGTACCATAGCAACTGCTGCTCATGCCAAACTAATATGATAGAAGCCAAAATTTCACCAGCCCTGTCTCTATTCAAACATTAGCAATGAACAGTAATAATAGAATTGGAAGCAAATCAAAAAACCATTAGAGTATAGTAATATCTTCGGGTTTTCACCCTCTTCGGTCACCAGCTCTGCCTCTACTCAAACATCAGCAATGAGCAGTAATAATCTTGAAAATGAACAGTAATCTCTTCGGTTGTACGGTCGATACAATAGTACTAGACATCATTTATCGAATATGTAAAAGTGAAGACGAATAAGAGTACTGGAGACGTGGTCTGCCGAGTCTCCTAGGACCCGAGGCGTGGGAAGCCGCGGTGGTCGTCCTCGACTTCGGCTCCGAGCCCCGGTCGACCGTTCTCCTCGCTCCTTCTTGCACTCCCTTTTGTATCTCCACTCCGCGTCGCTGCCTCCAGTAATCAGTTCTCATGATCAGCGTCGCGTTAAGCTTATTGTATAAGAAACACCATCTTTTAATCGCCATCCTAACCTCCACTTACACAACTCCCCCTCCTCTAGAACAAGTCCGTCCTCGGACTCTCAGTGAAAGAAGAAAATGAAGGGAAGAAAAACTGTGCATGACATATATTGTAGTGGTTATGCGTGCAGGTCCGGAACTGGCGAATCATTGACGATGACGTCATTCTCGCGAGCCCACTGTATGACGCGGTTCCAGTTGGATAAGCCTGCAGATTGGCTAGCACGAATTGCTCGTGGCGGCAGCCCGCGGGTCCGATATCTTCTCCCCGAACGGCATGTCGTGTTCGCCGCACGCGATCGCGCGTTGTGAAGGGAAAAGTTTAAATTCCCAGTGGAAGGATACGGAGAGTCGCCACGGAACCACTGCCGAGGCCGTGAGAATCCTAGGAGAAGTTCTGTCACCACAGCCCGTTTTTGAGACGTAAGATTTTCCGTACCTTGATTTTCTCTGGTTGAAGCATCTCGTTGGAGCTGAAGTCGTGAGAACTATAACAAACCCATTTCACCGCCTTGGACCGTGTCGACGGTATGCATGTGGCAGTGCAACCCCTGATCGACGGGTGTTCGATTGCAGGATGTGCTGCTGGTCCTTGTAGTAGACGACGATGGCTATACCAGGTCCAGGGATACCCTTAGCCAGCAACGCGCACACCACATCTACGCAGCATCGTGCCTCATCTTCGTTGGAGTGAGATTAGGACGCTGAGAATATTGACGAGCCACTAAGTCCCGCATCCCTTTTGTACTAGTTCACTAACGTGGACTAGTACAAAAGGGATGCGGGACTTAGGAAGAGCGATACGCCTCACCAAAAAAGCGCAATCCGAGGCTTGTAATTCGCTAACGAGTGCTCCACTGTTGACGAGACGATTCGGAAGAGAGTTGAGAGACGGGTGAGCTCTAAAAGTGGTTACTAGAGGCGCGAGGGGGATATCCTTACCTAGCAGAACATCCATGATTCCTCTCGCTCCGAGCAATGCCGGCAGCGACGAAACGGGACAGCGAAGGTGAGGTGCTAACTGATATGCATCGAAAATGAAGACGTGCCGCAAGCCGCTGGAAATCGTGAGACCATGGCGGCAAAAGCCGGCACCGCGATTTGCGAAGCTCGTCCCCAATGATAACCTTGCAGCATGCGAGCAGTTTGTGGAAGAGGCCTTGTGGACGGTCGATTTGAAGAAGGACGATGTCGTTCTATCGAGTGTGGCTGGGAATCGCACACGCATCATGAGTCCCACCTGGTATTCTCCGTGGCCTCGAAGTTTTCGTCCTCAGCAATTCGGAACTTTTCGCGTTCCTCATCGGTGAGATGAACCAAGTCCTCACTATAGAAGAGTAATCTTCGATCAGCCGTCGGCCGTGGGCATACGCATTGAGGGACCCCACGACCCCTTGACCAAAGGCGTCAGGAAAACTGATCAGAATACCTTGGAATATGTTGCGAAGATCAACTATTGTGACCGGCGCTCCTTCACGTAGGGCTGGGTCGATGACGATTCGAACGATGGGCAATTGTTGGTACTCCGTCATCTGAAGTAGTGTGTCGGCGAATTTGGTCACCGCCACATTTGTGAAGGAGGTGGCTATCACTAATTGTCCAGGGGTTGCCGCACGGGCAGCTATTACTGCCCCTACAACAGTTTTTTTCGTACCGAAAGCTGCGTGTGTTGCTAGGATAGGTTAATTCCCACACCCAAGTTGTACCGCGCGGGCCTGGTCCTCCCGAAAACGAAGTGCGGAAGAGCGACAAAGGATTGTCGTGGTTTACGAGCGACGTGATGGGGCTGTGGCTTCCGTAGATCAGCGATAGGCGCTACCATGGATCATGCTGAGGATATCGCTGGCCAGTGATGGTGCGTTCGTAGGAATGTCTCCGAACAGGTTCTCGCTTGCGAAGACTACAAGCGGCGTTCTAGAAGTTGCTCTGCACAAACGAGCGCTAACGCCGCCGTCGACGGACCCGTAAAGTTCAACTGCGTGGTGGGCGGCGCGGTGAGTCTGTGGTTCTGAATGGAGTTTTACACTGAGTACCTGGCCGGTGAAACTGAGTGATGTCCGAGCAATCGTGGTTCGTGCCACCATGGCGGAGTTAGTAACCCATACGTCGACTGAACGTCCTCGTAACCAGCCGGAATCCGAAGCCATCCTATGAAGTTCGAAGTGGAGTCGAAGTGGGAGGGCTGCCACACTCGGAACGAATGCCACTACTTCGTATGTCCGTCTGTCGTCCATAAGAACTGCCTGGGCAGCAGAGGCAGCGCTTGCTGCTGCAAGAAGTGTACTATGTGAAGAGATCGGGCCACTCCAGTAGCTGCTAAAGTCGTCTAAGCGATCTGGTATCCAGTCCAATTCGCGTTGAGCGTTCACCAAGGCGCGTTGGGCCATCCCCGATAGCACTGGAACACAGAAAAGCATGACACAGGGTACGTTCGTGCGCGCCACGTCGAGATACAAGTTGTCTCGGTCGACATCGTCAAGGTCGAAATTGCAAAGTGTCGGAGGTACGCGCACTGCGCCCGGGTATCCTTGAAACGCAGCATGGACATTGTTAATGTGCTCAAACTGTCCTCGTCGATGGACTGCGAGCATGACCCGAAGTGGTGTTCTGCTGTAGATGGCGTAACCCTAGTGTAATCTTGAACGCGGAAGAACTAGGGAAGACTGACGTCGAAGTGAGATGCTCGGGGTAAACGTGCTTGCCTCAGCATTCGCTCCCTGCCGTTGCTGCGGATAGCGGAGGGGTGAACTGCAAAGAAAGTACCCGCACCAAGTCTTAGACGGAAATGTGTGACACGTCGAATCCACGCGTACTTGAGTGAACGTTGACGGAATCTCGAGTCAATGGAATACACTGAAGCTCACGATGGTCGAGCCCGGTATGAAAAAGTATTTTGCTCATAGTATAACACCTTGTCCATACCCTAGGGCGACGACTTCGTACAGAACCGGATGACGTTCTTCGCCTGATGCGGTGGTATGCGGGAGTGAGCCCTTTGGGGAGCGACGGCGCACGCTGAATAATCGTCGGTGTCGCCTTGGAAGCTGCGGTCGAGTAAGTCGTCGATTGACAGAATCGCATGCTGCCGAGAAGCGATAATATCTTCAACCTGAGCTCACTCTATTACGGCACCGGGTTCGTTGGAGAAGGTGACCCACGAAGCGGTGAGGGAAAGTGAGCTGACGAAGCGGTCCGCGAAGTGAACAATCCGAGGAACTTGGCGGTAGACGTGGAGATGGAGAGCCGCCATTAGCTTGTTTTCTCTTGGTTAAAGAACACGTCGGGGTGTCACGTACTGACCCCACGGATGAAGATGGGCGGATGGGCTTTGTGGTTTTCCGAAGTGTCGACCCAGCGCGGTGGAATGGTTGGATAAGGTTGAATTCACTGCTGAAGTGTCTCTGCTGGTCGCACGCGTTTGGATGGCGTAGCGCCGAATGAAGGAGAAGCCACCTGGTGCCATCAGATTGTGGAAGGCGGAAAAGCGTCAGAGTGGGAGCGTAAGCGTGACGACGACCGTGGCGTTGCTGCCGATGTTGATGACGATGGTACGGGCGTGGTCACTGCCGTATCCTTCGGTTGTAATGATAGACGTTCCAGCTCGGTGGGTTCTGCAAGAAGAGGAAATGAAAATGTCAAGAAAGGGTCCTCTTGCGGGTGGCTGAGAAGAAGCTTGCCAAGCACGAGAGGTTGTGAAGACAAAGCGTGGAGTGGCCCATTGCGCGTGTAGAAGTTATAGAAGATGATTCTGTGTTTGAGACTCGGGCACCAGCCCTATGACTGTCTGCTTCATTAGGAAAGGAGGTGCTGCCCATGACGTGTGGTCAAGATCGAAGTCGAAGAGCAACTCACGTAGAGTGCGTCGGTGCCGTTATTCGTCGATGAGTTAAGGCTGGCATCGGTCCATGTAGCGGTTATAATGGGTTGAGAAGGGTGTTACCTACTCCAGATGCAGTTGCCGAGACGCCTTCCGTCAGAGTAGAACCATTGGACGTAGATTGAGCAAACGTGCTTTGGCTTTTGTTAGATAAGCTCATAACGTACTGTTCTGCAACATTCTAGATCTGATAGATGGTTCTGAGGTAGCTAAAGGCGCGGATTCCGCAACGAGATGAGGACGACATACACCATAGGTGATTCCGACAAAAAAAGAAAGGAGAGTGGACATCGAGTGTAAAGACTGAAAAGGAAGGGAACGTTGGGTGAGTCGAGCAGCTGGCACCGAAACGAACGGGAGAAAGTAAAAGAAGTGAAGAAGAAATGAGACGAGTACCAGTGAATGGTTCAAATAATGTAGGTATTTCATATATAAAGAGTAAAAAAGGGATAAAGAATTGAAGAGGAGAAAAAATGTAGAAAGAAACATTGCCGTTGGAGTGTACGAGTCCGAGATCCAGCAGGATTGTAGTCGTTTCCTATAAAGAGTATTATGTTAATGGGATGGATTTGGTATTGAATCTGGTGGAGCATGCCTGCTGAGGTCAGAACGGGATGAAAATATCCTACCACAGCTGCTGGGGTTGTCTTTGTTAAGAGAAGAGTATTTTAATCTTGGTCCGGCCCTCATAATGTGGTAAAAACAAGACCCGACAAGATAAAGCTTTTTTAAATCTGATTCATACGCGCCTTACTAGGAGTGGACTGGAAGGCCGAAAGACTGACGATGCTAACGTGCAGATGATTGGCCTCCATAACACGGAACTGGCCTATCCAGGGATTACACAGCTTGGTGGAAGGTCCCGGCTTGGGCGTCAGATCCTGCAAGTAAACACGATCTCCCACTTTGAAGGCACAGTTTACGATAAAACGGTCTATAAGTTCTCCCCCTAGGAACACTCAGTGGCCTCGAGGGTAATAGGAAGGACGCTATCAAGTCCCAAAACTCAACAGGTAGGGCATGGTGAGAGCCCTGTTACCGGATCGCCCGGACTTCCCGCCCTTCGATCGATGTCACGTCAGACGAGTGTCGAGGCGATACAGATTGCAACATTCGTTCTAGGAACAACACACAATCAGCTGATCGCCGAGTGATGAGGCGACATTTCCTCCCATTCTTTTATTCTCAGTTATTCGTTTTGCTGCTGCGACCCTTTATTTAATTTTCTACCTCAAGAGGCTGGAGAAGGTGGGCTATTTTTGATGTTACTAGACCTTTTTTGTCAACTTACGCTTAGGAGTGAATGAATTTTTGATCACCGTAGCCAACTATTTGCACCAGGACCCACACGTGCGCAATGACACACATTACATAGCTCGTTCAAACGCCCCACTCTTCTTCAATTTTCTGGTTTCAAACTCATTCAGCCCCATTTTTAACGGTTTTTCGAAGCCTTTTTCACTTCGGAAACAGCTATTTACGCAGATTCTTGCCTTCATGACACAATCTTACATCTCATCTTCCACTTCCGTAATCTGGATTACCCAAATTTTTCGTTAACTGTGCCTTTAACAGACGAGAGAGGGAGTCCGTGGCGATCATGCTGTCATTTCTTAGCCGCGCTGCGCTTGCGACTGTAAGCAACGGCAGACAACCAGGACGCATGTAGCTATGTAACTAGTGACATTTCATAAATGCTACCAGTTGCAGTTGGATAGAGGCGCTGCGATGACAAATTTGCCGAAATGCTCGGTAAGGCATAGAATATATTGTTGTCTGTTATTGTTTACGGGGCTGGGATCTCTCGCCGACAATGCGTCTTCCCACAATAAAAGCGACTCCATCGCTTGGCTCCCAGCGGAGCGATTGCTGAATGTTTTCTTTTTCACCCTAGCGTCGGAATCCCGACTGGGAATCTGGCCTAGCTATGCGGGGAACATATGCTCGCAAGCTCTCATAACATTTATCGTGATGCGAGATCACAATTACACAGAATTATTCTATGGCTCAGTCACGTCTCCCATCTCAACACATAAGGAGCACCGCCTCTCCGTCGTATGAGTTTGAATCGCACCCTCTTTTGGTATCCAATATCATCAGTGACTTCATGCCGATTACTCGCAGCAAGTTAGGTCAGGCTGTATTCCGACTGACGCGGCTTTTGCACAACCCTCCCACACCAAGACCGAGTCTTTAGACCCGACCAAGGGCTTACCCTTCTCTATCTTCGAGACGTCTCCGACTGCGTCCTATTCCCTAGGCGAGATGCCAAGGCGCTGCGCGATGCCACCACATCCGCCATTGAGCAGGTCTGCAATGACGCCTATGACACGACCGCATTGCTTATCAGCAATATCAAGGAAAGCAATGCCTCTTCCCAAGATGAGCTTGAAAAATCTTTTGCGCCTCACTGTGCCAACTTCGGCGGTTGTCCTGGCAGTTAACCGCCTCGTACCGGGTCATGGCTTAGTTCGTGTGAGCGGTCTCACACGCTCTGCTTTTCGCGCTCGCGCTCAGGTCTGAAACCCACTGCCCCAGCACACACATCGACTTCAGCAAACCAAATTCGATGTTACAACTGTAGCGGCTCTGGCCATTTTGCTTTTGCTTGTCCTTCCCCGCGGCGTCAGGCTTCCCCGTTTCTAAAACAGCACCCCGCTGTACATTCCCCCTCGGACAAAGACCATCTTCTGCGTGCCATTGCTCTCCCGCTCGCTTTGAAATCGGACTCAAACGTAGGCATAGCTGCCCTATTCACGGAGAGAGAAATAAAAAATTTAAAAATTTAAATAAAAAAAAATAAAAGAAATTTTGAAGGAATAATGAGCTTGCGAAGATGTCCATGGAGTATACCACCCCATCTGCCCTTCGACTCCTTCCGCATGCCTCCCCGACGTTCGGCTGCTGTTTGCGTGGTTTACTTTTTGCCGCACTCACGCCATCTACTGAAGCGTTCAAAGCATAGCTTTGCCCGTCCGGCTACCCTTCCACCTATTTTTTGCCAACGTGTCAAAATTGTTCAGGGCTGCTGCCCAACATTCCAAACCTCTCAAGCGAGCCGTCCTTCATGTTTTGTCGTCCTAACACCCAATTGTATTCTTTTCCAGCTTTTTTATAAAATCGTCCGTCATTCTGTCTCCTACTCCACATCTTTTGCGATGCATCGAAAGCACCGCGTCGAAACCATGTTGCCTGTACCAGTTGAGGAATGCCGCCAGAAGGCCTTGCACCATCGTTATTCTCATGGTGAAATGATCAGAACCTCCGGCCTTTGGCGCATGCAGAATATTATCCGATTTGGTTTTCCATCGGCTTCGTTCGAGTGTTGTGTAGACCATTCAACTGAAGTCACTGCTTGTGACTTTTGCAACACAACAGTCAACGCCCAGCACTCCGACCGATCCCCACAGTCTCCACCGGATGACATAGGACATGTTAATATACGAAGGGCACATGTACGTCATCTGACGGGTCAAATCTGGTCTGGACACATGATCGTGAAAAAGAGTGCTTTTACACCATGGTAGCGTGCATGTCCGGCCACATGATAGGTGCCATATGGATGAGAAACGAAAATAATTTTCCCTCTAATGGACCGGCCGTTCCACGAGAGTAACCAATAGTTCAAAGCAATTTATAGATAGCGACCAAGGATATACCGTCTGGAGCTCTCAACTAATCACGCGTCAGACTTTGGATTCGATAGGCCTAGTGACATCTAACCAATTGGCGGCCCAGCTTCTTTCGGTGTAGGGTGCGACACTCTCTTCCGTGAACGTCTTCTTCCGTATGCGCTTATGCCCCACTTCATGCCCCACGCACCTCACGAATAACATGACGGTCTAATTTTTCGGCAGCGTTGGCAACTTGTACAACTCTTACCATGCGTGCTGTCTTGAATCGCCAGGATATTACGGCAACTCATCTAAGTTGAGGTTACCTTGCAGTGCGCCGCTGTGTAGCCCTTCCCCTATCGTCAGTACGTTTTCTTTTCTTTCAACACTACTTGTTATAACCACCCACGAGTCTTCCGACTCCTGAACGACATCACGACTCCACATTGTTACCCTCTTCCGCGGATTGATGCCCCTCTGAAGCGGGAGCGCTTCGTTGCGCGTGTCCGTCGAAACTAGGTCACTCCGCAGCCGTCGACGAGGCGAGTCGGACCGCGATATTTGACAGACGTCGCAATTGTCACCGGGGCATACGCTTTGCGTTTGGTCCACGGCAGTCAGTTCAAGAAGAAGATAACACAGACACATGCAAATCATTTGCTCCAATGACACTTGTGGTACTGTAATGTGATCTCGAAACCTCAGTGTGATGCGCCGCGCGCGAAGTGGGCGGGGTGACCTTCTTTCGACGGACACGCGCTACGGACGTTCTCCCTCTGAAGCGAGTTGCGGGGAAACGATATTACACCAACTTCGTTTTAGCACCGGGATATATTGCAGTAAATTTTGTCCCCGGAAAGTCAAGCCAAGTGCGGGTGGGCAACCCATCGCGGAATCCACTAGTTAGTTCACTTACCTTTCGGCCTCCGCAACGCCGGAGCATATTTTTGTAGGGCGTTGGCCGGATCCTAGCGGGATCAGACGACAGCTGCTTAGCTCACCTCGATGACATCATTGTTTTTGATGACGGCTTTGAAAAGCATCCAGCGTTTCCGTAAGGTCTTCGAGCGTTTTCGTGTAATCAATATCAAGGTCTTCGGGAAGAAACTCACCAATATCGCCCGGTCCTTTATCACGTTCTTCAAACACGAAATCTCGGGTACCTCGTGTACTCTCGCAACTTAACATTCGACCCATCAGAGACATGTCTGCCCCTACTTTCACAAAAGCCGTCGAAGGGTTCCTCGGAATGGCTAGCTTCTTCCGTGGAACCGTCGAAAACTTTGGCTTACAGCAGCACCCCTATACTCCTGTTGAAGAAAAAGTTTTCTTCCAATGGGGCGAATCGCAAGCAGCTGCGTTTGCCCACATCGAGAAAGCTCTAGTCACCGGTCCCTCCCTTGCATTCCTTCAAGATAGAAACTTTCTCCTACATACTGACGGAAGTAAGATCGCTGTGAGGGCGGCTCTACAACAGGTGCAGGACCCGTCCCTACCACCCGTACGATTGGCTACTACAGTGACATCCTAGCCCCCCGCAGCGAAAATGGAGCCCAACCCACATTCAGCTTTTCGCTATGATCAGCGCCCTACGTTTTTTCCGATCAATCATTTACAGGAACCACACCAGAGTTCCTTGCGATCATCAGCCCCTTACTTTCCTATTTCGTCATCGCATCGCAAGCCCCACTCCGCAGCTGGTTACCCCAACCCCTTCTCCGCAGTCGTCACCTTCGGCGCTAATTCCTCCAATATATATACGCCCGTACGACCCACTACTGGCACAAAGGCAGGATCCGCTTGAGAACGCGATAATGTTCTTCCTGAACACGGGATCTTTCCCACCCGACCTCCCAACGGCACTGAAGGTTGCCTGTATGCCGGGAGGGCTGCTTGTATTACGCGGATTTACGATGCCCGCGTCGAACAACGGTGATCTTTATCCCATCTACTCTAGAGGAAGTCGTTCGCACTGTCTACACGGTAGTCCCACGGCGAGCGGGTCATGATAGTCCCACCATGGACACTCTGGGTGGAAGAAGACTTTTGTTAAAAATTCTTGCCTTTTTTTGGTCATTCATGCGCTAGATTGTACTTAATTTGTACGTTCGTGCGGTGCGTGTCAGCGCAAGCAGCCACATCCATTGTCTTGGTAAGCATTGCTTCCGATTCACGCTGGGGCTATCTTCGACAGAGTATACTTGGATCTCAGCAGCAGGTCAAGGCTTCGCGCTCGTACTTCTGATGGTCTCTCCCCAAGCTTCCGAGTAACGAGGCATTGGGGCTGTTTGTCGTCATGTTCGAGAAGCCAACGGTAGCATGAAAATGTCAGCAAACGGCTACATGAGCAGGCATAATGCAGGAAGTTGAGAGAGCGTTGGAAAGCATAGGAAGAGTAAGATATGGGTGAAATCGCATAGCAGAAAGAGATAGAACTGTTTGGAAGAACGAGTAATCGAAGAAGGAAAATTCCGGATCATAGTTATTTCAAAGCAGGGAGAAGGAAAGAAATAAAGAAATCATAGTAACGAATAGAAAAGTACTAAAAAGGACAAAGTGTTAATGTAAAAAAAGGAAACTTAATAGCGACACAGTTAGGAGAGCTGACTGTTTCGACACAAAAAATACGTGCACGACGATAATCCACTTGAAGAATAATTATTGCGCTTGGAGCGTTGTCCTTCTCGCAGCTCGCATACTCGATCATTCAAAAAGCAGTTCATCGTTCATTCCAACATCGCAACAATACTAACATGGCTAGACGTGAGATACCGAAAACTGGTTAGACTTATCGCAAACTGGAAAGCCTTTCGCAGTTTCCCTAACCCACATTGTAATAAAACAAAAAGATGATAGAATATTGCTGATAGGGTATAGAAGGATACAGAAAACTTTAAAAATGGCATTTCTATACAATGTTGAACGGCTGACCATTAGGCTCTCACAGAGGGCGCAGCCATATGTGCAGAGTGCAAGAAGATCTAAAGGGGAAAGGAGTGCTGAAGGAAGAAGGAAAAACAAAGGGGAGAATGGGTGCAAGCGGTCAACGGAAGACACTAACCACATATGGAAATATCCCTAGCCATCGGCTCGTCCCTGCAAGATTGTTGTGACTGGCTAGCAAAAGTGACAGTCGAAAAAACCTCGTCATCACATTGTGCACGAGAAAGACGCTGGTATGGAGTTCCTGTAAATCAGCGTGTATGGAAGAACAACGAGGAACGAAGACTGGCCTGGCCTTCGCTGACTGCAATTTCCCTCGCTGCTACCGGTAATATCTTCGAGTTTCCACACTCTTCGGATGTACAGTGGACCTAAAAACACTAGATATCATTTATCGAATATGTACAAGTGCAGACGAGTATGAGTAAAGGAGACGTGGTCTGCCGGGCCTATTCGGACTCGAGGCATGGAAAGCCCTGGTGGTCGTCCTCGACTTCGGCTCTATCGGGAAGCTCCGGCCGGTCGTTCTCTTCGCTGTTTCTTCCATTCCCTTTTGTATCTTCCCACCGCATCGCTCCCATCGCGAAAAGGCGGAAGGTTAGCAATTAACTTAGCGAAGGGGAGAAGAATAGCAATCAGAAGAGTGGAGGATAGGACAATGATCTTATGATCATTGTCCTATCCTCCACTCGCACAGAATATAGCAGAATGAAAATGAACAATGCAGCGAATAAAGAATACAGAAATAAAAGAAGAACAGCACATTACGTCATAAAAAAAATCGGCTGATTATCGAGAAATGATGGAGCGCAAATGGCGATGACGCCTGCAATAACGAGGGAACTCGTCCGCAATCGCCGCACGCGGGGAATCGATTACATGAAACCGACCTTACTGCCCGCACTGACCAGCTCTACCTGCATGATTCGCCTCCTCCCTCAGCTCACCCCGCTCATTCCTTAACCTTTACCCCCGAGCAGGAGGATGTCATAGGCATCGGCTTCGGGCAAATTCCCTCGCTGCTATCCAGGCTGCATTTGGGACAGGAAAACTCATCGTTGGGCCCTCACTGCGGAGCTGACTTCAGTGAATTCCAAGGACATCACCAATGTTACTACCACCAGTGATGCGGCAGTTTACAAGGACCCTCTCTCCTTGAACGTTTTCGATCATCTCACATAATTCGCCAAATTTCCAACACCGCCGCTGCAGACAATCAGAGGCCGACACTGGTTGACCTCTTCATAATCCTCAGGACTCTTGGTGACGTCGCAACCACCTCTCACATTAGGACCTCCAGGTCTGTCATCAATTTTAGGAAATTCAGGGAGATCCTCGAAAATCACCTCGACCACACCGAAATGATCCCCAATATGTCGAAGGAGGGTCAGGAGGAGTACGATATCGCGGAGCGTTATGTTTCGCGAACTCTAAAGCGTATAGTCAGCACTATGTTCACCGTCCGCCGCCCCTCGATTATATGTATGTATGACCACGGCATCTCCCCTTAACTCCACCGCCCTTCCGGGATCTTTACGCCTTATATTACGGAGTTCACGACAGTCACCGCTAACGAATCATCACAAATCCCGGAACTTACTTTACCTGCAATAGCCGGCCGGGTGACCAGCGCACGCCACGTTTACATAGGGGATGTCCATTAACTGGCACGTCAGGTACCCTCCCAACTCGAACCCAATCCATTTCCTTTTTCTTTGTACATTCTAAAAGTGCGGGTGAAACACCGGGTAAAGGGAGAGATGTGAGCCGCGCAGTGCAAGCGCAGCGGTCAGCTAATTATGTTTTGAGATGAGTCGTCAAGGCATTTAAAGGCACAGTTCACGATAATTTTGGGATATCCGGTTTTCGGCCAAATTTGACAAAAAAATGTTAAATACGGCCTACAATAGTGCAATGGTAAAAGAGAAAACGCGAAAAAAGATGAATATAAAAAAATAGAGAGCTACAAAAAACAAGGGAAAAGGGGGGTCGGACGAGCTACCGAAAGAACGGCGATAAGGGATTTCTCGGGCGAGTCAGACAAACGCGACGCAGTGTCTGCCATTGCACACAACACACCAAATAGCTGATTTTGGCTTATTCATTGAAACTAATTCTCCTACCGCTATTAATCTGATTTATTGTGCAGTATCAATTTCGACCTTTTGACGACGGCTGAGAAAAATTAATTAGAACAGAACAGCGTAGAATATAGTCGAATACTAGAAAAACAGCTGAATAGTAGTCCCAGTACGAGGCGGTCGACCAACTGACCGTCTGTGGGCAGTTTGCCTACCAGCCTATCGATTTTTCACTAATGTTGCTCTAATGCGAAAGTGGTGAAGGACAATTAGAACTCGTAGTCAACCTAGCGAAGGGCGGAGGCCTCCCGTCCCCCACTGTTACTGCCCTTATTGTGCCCTATCCAGACCGTTTTCCGACCTAATTCCTGCACAAGCGGTATCGGAGGGGGCGTCGAATTGA